CACTACTCGGCTTTCCTTTATCATGTAACATCGGAAACACTCTGTCCGTCCTAGCACGTCACGATCTCCTTACGCGCGTACATCTCGCCTCCACCTAACCGTCGCATTTCAAATTATACGTCTAATGACATCTACTGAAACATCTATTTGTAAGTTATTGATACCTTCAACTTTATATATGTAATCGTACAACGAACATAGCTTATACATAAAATAAAAAGCTGAGTATCTCGGAAAGGATTATTTATTGAGGATTTTTAGTATTTTAGTCCTTTTTGGTGAGCTTTATTATCCAATCAAATTTTCACTTATAAATTAGATTAATATGTAATATATTATTATTAATATGTACATGATATAAGTGTATAAGTGAGGGAGAATTAGGGTACTTCTGCCGACGTAGAAATTGAAGAAATGTCGCAGCGTCGAAATGGCGTAAACGCGGGGCTTTGATACAAGAGCGCGAAGAGAGCCGTGTGATCGATGAATGACGGCTTGATGAGTCGAAATGGAGTTGACATCGACGAGAGAATGCGGGGTGGAAGAGGTTGCGGCGGGGCTTAGGAGAAATCACCGTTAATGGCACGACCAAAGGATTTCCGGGCGTTCCGCGGACTTTTTACGAGTTCGCCGAGCATTCACGCTCAGTCGTATCAAGATTCTCAGCTTTTCAACGGCGGACGTGCTGCGGTCGACCAACATCGGCTCTTAGTTGCTTTTTTCTGTCGCCATCCATCTTTCGACGGTCTGCACCCTCCGCACGTCTATCCGCGTCTATCATCTCTAAGCTCAGTCCCGTCAGCGCGCGCGCGTCCGTTTCACCTAGCTAAACGATTATTTTTTTTTATCCGTAACGCGTTAGACCACTCCAGCGTCTAAACGTTGGCCTAATCTTCCGGCCGCAATCGGCGCAACGATGATAAATTATTCGGCGGTAATCCTCGCTGACAGGTTCATTAGATCTGCTAATTTCTGATACTTTCTTTCTTTTTGCGGTATATATTTCTCTCCCAATTCAATATTATGAATAGATTTTTCTCTTAACCTTTTCTGTTATCTTTCTTTTATTATTCTCCCAACATTAATAAATATTCGTTCCAACATCAATGTTCGGCTCTCATACTTGCCTAGAATATTCTCTCTCTCTCTCTCTGTTAATATATTTTTTAGTATTTTCTTTTCTTCTTATTTTTTTGTGCGAATAACCACGGCGTTATGATATGTACTTAGAGATCCTTTCTCTTTTTTTGGAGTGTCTTGTGTTTGTGGAGTATCTTGCTGTTTAATTACGATTCATAGAATACGCGAATAACGATTCGCGATACATTTTGCGAGAACATTAATACCGCTAACATATTCCATTCAAGATGATAGAACTCGCTTTATATTCTATCAACATGAATCGTGTCAATGTAATTTTCAATATCGCGCAATGTTCTCTGGCGAAGCTTAAACATGTACGTGGCAATTTAGGCGTACGGTAGCGCAATACCATATCGCGATGCGAAGGGTGCATCAAGCACGAAGTCGTACACAAGTAAATATGTACCGACTGATGTAGACGCAGAACTAACAAGCAGTATCGATTAGTCCGGACGTCTTTATAGTATATATTGCGATGTCATCTTCGGTTTGAAATTAATTCCCTTAGACGTTGTTAGTCGATGTAAATCTCGTAAAACACGAAACACCTTCTAAGCGTACCTCGTCCATTGTTTCAAAGATATACTTGCTTAATTAATATGTCACATAATTATGTTTAAAATGCTCGCTCTCGCTACATTAATCCGATAAGGAAATTGATAACGTATTTGCGCGTCATTCTATACCAAACAAACAATAAATACATTCGTTGTTGCTGCATTTTTTCCGATGCTGTTTAACAATTTCGGTATGTGTTGTTGTTTAATTGAAAAGCTTAATATGTATGAAATTTCAATAGAGCTTTGACATCTATTTATGTCAAAACTCGCTAATGATTCCTAGTCGCTTTGTATTTTGATGACATGATATAATATGATATATGTTAAATTATTAAAATTAACTAGACTGTTAATAGATATATTAAATTATTAAAATTAATTAGACAATCAACAGCCATAACGTATACATTGCATTGCTTGCATTGATCTCACAAATCGTCTGAAATGATGGTAGAATCCTGGAATCTTAAAGGTAAATACTCTTTCTCATTTTTATTAGTTTAAAGAAGAAATTTACAGTTTAAAGCTTCTATATTTTTGATATCTTAATATCTATCGATTTAACTAATCAGAAAACTTTTTGTTTCAAATTTGGCAGTACTTGCGGCCACATAATGACCACAGTTCCTGAAGGATGCAGTTACCGCATACAGGTTGTATATTCCGACAGTTTAGGTTTACTTGAAAAAGATTTAGGGAATAACCACTCGCGCCAGTGCGCACGTTCGTAGTATCTAGTATAGGAAAATTGGAGCGAGCGATGAAATTTCATATCGTAGAGGATACCTGTAATATGCGACGCAACAGTTCTTAACATCATCTGATTATCGCCATCGAAGGGATGCGAAACCCACAACTTTCCCAGGAATCGAGAAGTTGTGGTAAATCCGGTACTTGGCAGAACTTCGAACTTCGGAGAAACCCCAAACATCTGGAAATATACAGGGTGTCTGGATTTAGGTGGCCGAGCACTTGTGCGCAGGTAAACTCGTTAAACTGAATATAGAAGTCATCTACCATTTTGTAAGTTACCACAGTAATTATCGAAATATTAATGAAATAAAAATGACGAATGAGTTCTATATTTGCTAGTTCTATAATTGAACAAGAAAGTTCTCTACCATTTTGCAAATAATTACGATAATTATTCTTTTATTAGTAATTATTCTTGTAGTCTACAAAATTTTTATAATTTACAAAACTCAGTTCATCGTATCGCATTGATCGACCAATTTTTTTTTTATTTAAATTTCAGACATTATCATGGTTGTTTCTGAATTGGTAAAATTTTTTTACTCGGTTTAAGGAATTTTTACTTACACATGAGCACGCAGATATCTAAATCCAAACCCTGTTTGGTCGTCCTTTTGCGGAATAAGGATCAAACAGCGTAATTATGTAAGTACGGAAGACATCAGTTTATGTGTTTACATTAAAGAGGGTATTGATCTGTGTTAGAAACTAATGGGAAATCTTGGTTTATAGCGTGGAGCGCCAGTTTTATGTTTTTAACGGGTTTAAAGTGCAATTAAAAAAAAAGCAATTTAAAAGAAAAGTATAAATTATTCTACTTTCTTTTGGAAGTTTGGAGTAGAATATCATTCGAAACGAGTGAAAAATAACAGTATTTTCACTCGATGCGATAGTGAAATTACTGCCATTCGAAATTGCAAGAGTGAGCGTTTCACTCAGGTTTAGAATAGATTCTCACTCCACATGACTGTTTCAATCAATTCGAGTGAATATGTTTCTGTGACCATGGAGCACATAAAATTCACTCTTCAATTTCGAATGAAGATATACACCCGATTTAGAATGGAGAGTTTACGCTGTATGAGTGAAATACATTCGAATTCGAGTGATTCAGTGGTCACTCTGTTCACTCTGTTTTTCAAATAAAATTTCACCCCAAGAAATTTAGACATTACAATATACACAATATTGTGCTATCATGTAGCACTTAGGAAAGTTTGTTCTTTGAATTCTGAGTAGTACTACACTGACATGAATTTTCGGATAACATTATCCTGGCTTGCATCTTTAGCGCTAATTTGACAGATTTTTCAGAGTGGCATGATCGGCCACAAATTGCTTCCACTTTGTCGACTACGTGGCATATTACCGGGGAATCTGTGTGGAAGTTTCGAGTTCCTCAAGTGTTTCGGTTCCTACGAGAAATCTCGAAAACTTCCCTTGCACGAACTTACGGTTATTATTCGCCGAAAGGCCAGCGAGCAGACACACATCCCCACTCACACATAAGCACTCAACGTATACCGACGTATAAGTTTCGGCTTGCTCAAAGATTCCCCGATGCATTTACCCCACTTCGGCATTCCTGGAGTAACTAATAAAGCCGCAACGTACTTGATTTGTAATTCGGCACGTAGAGATGCGTATCTCTTGCCAGAAAGAGAAAGAGCAGGATAGATGGATGAGAGAGGAGGGGTGAGAAATAGCGGAGGGGCAGCCGAGCACGGTAATCGCGCGCAGATTGCGAGTACGGGGCAAAGGCGACGGCAGCGGCGGTGCACTCGACGGCGTTGGTTCGGGTTTTAAAGGGTGGGAAGGATACAATATTTCAGAGTGGCGACAAGGAGCAAGCCTGCTCGCCACTGGCAAATTAATTAAATTCCTACAAGCTGCCTGGAAAGGCTAAGGGGCGCGGCGGGCGAGCGGTGGTCGGCGAAGCGGGCAAGGGTCCTGTGTTCCGCCCGTGGGAATATTGTAATTAAGATATGCACTTCTACCCTCCATTTTCCTCGTGCGCACCGACAACCCCCTCAGACTACTACCGCCGTGCCATGATTTACGCTTCGTAGGACGCGGTGTTGTCTGTTTCGACCGCGTCTAAATTGCATCCTATTATGGAGACGCCGCGTCGCGTCGAGCCGCTCCGCACCGTCAGCCAGCCGTTTCTTCCGGTATGTCGAATCTTGAAAGTTATTATGTCAATAGAATTCCAAATACGACATGCGCGCGTTCCGTTGAGAATAGTCGTTGAGAAAGAAAGAGAAATTGAGTGAGTGAGAGAGAGAGATAGAGAGAGAGAGGAAGAGGAAGAGAGAGAAGGGGGATCGTTGGTGATTCGTTCTGCAACACTATGCATCGCACAGAATACAGCGAGTTTGCATTGCAATGTTTTTTCTCTCTTTCTCTCCCTCTTTTTTTCATAGCGATCAACGTCGCTTCGAACAGTCGATATATCCCAGCGACGTGAGAGAGCGATGATTTTTATGAACAATTGATAGTTATTCGCCGCTGACGTCACGGTGTGTCGAGGTCTGTCGCACTTCGTGATGCGTCAAAAATTCTCGACATGCCGCCGCTCTCCAATCATGATTCGCGCCATAACAATCAAAATTGATACTGCGATGACGAGGCCGCGCACGTGCCAGTTACGCGATTTAAAATGGATGGATAACGCGGTCCCTTCGCCGTTCCTTATGAGTAACGAGATTCCATGGTAGTTACAATTATGGAAAGCACCGCCACCGCCATAATTTTGGGCTTGGTCCTGATGTTACCGCTGCTCATACAACTGCAGATGCTTGTCGTACGTGATCAAGATTAATTGATCGTAAATTGCACCTACGAATTGTTTTCGTCTGAGGGCAGTAATGATTTATTGCGCCACGGCTATGTAGGTTAAATGCCGAAGGGGGGAAAACAAACCCGTGCGTGCGTGTAAGAGGACACAATGCGTTAAAAAGCAGGAAACTAATTGAAAAAAACTGTCACGTCCATTAATCATTTTTATCCTATCTTTTGTAATATCAAAGCTTAAAGCGTGCGAGCGGGTAAACGAAAAATTCTCTTTGTCCTGTCTCGAACTGATACATAGAAGAACTCGTATCAATTGTCCAGAGCCTGCATTTATTCCGTTATTACATATGTAATCAAAGCACGGCCATTAAACGAATGGAAAAGCGCGTTCAAATGATGAGTCGCGGATTCGCCAAGTGATGCAAGTCAATGTCTGTAGGCAACAAAGTCGAGTGTCCCTCGCCATAATGAGTCCTCCACAAGGAGTCCGATAAACGTTCAAATAACTAGAAGACAAATAGACTTACACATACACTACTAATACGCCATTTTGTGTACACTATTATAACGCGAGTTGAACGTCGAACTTGCAGACACGTCCTAGGAAGTTACTAGAAACGCTTCTTCGGTGCCACTTGACGGAGAGTACGCGCGACATCCGCCGCAGCAAGCGCAACCTAGTGCAGCACTATCCCAAGTTGCCGGACCTGTTAAATTCCAATTCGGAATCCAGGATGGTGGTGTGCTCGCCGAGGACGATCCTCTCGTCACCCGCTATGCCGCCACGTGTCACGTCCAACGATACGTGCCGATATGAACGGTCCGTTAGAAAAACGATACCGCTGGCACAACACTCGTCGTCCTACGTGGCGACGCAAATCGAGCTGCCGGTGGTGGATATCACCTGCAACTACAACTCCTGCTGCTACAAGAGCCTCGAGGAGAACCTGAGACGGCGATACGGCGCGAATTATCCGCCGGGCGAGGTGGTGCTGAATTATATTCAATTAAGCACGCCGGATTCGCGCGTCGGGATGGCGGACGGCGTCGGCGGAAGCGACGATCTCCTGGACGTCTTTGAGATGGACGACGCCGGTACATACTCGTCGTCGGTGTCGACCAAGTTGGAGACCGAATATCTGAATCTTTTGGATCATTTCGTGTCGAGGCAGCGAGGAAAAGCTTTGACCGCGGGCAAGTTCACCGAGACCCCGTCGTCGTCGGACGAAAGAAATCTCGAAATGTCGCCCCACGCTGTTACATGGAGCCAATCCACCCTGAAAAGTCCGGTCACTCAAGAAAAGGAATCCGAGTCGCCTGGCAATCAGCGTTCTTTAAAAGGTACGAAATACATGTGATCCGGGTATGACGCGAATGGCTCGGAAAACTCTTTGACGATCAGTCGCTCGCTGTTCGTACTGCACTTTGTAACTTTAAATGTTATCCGTGCGACAACGCGCAGCGCGTCCCGTTCTTCCATCGGAAAGTCCCTCTGCGAAAATTCCATCGCCGGATAAGTTGAATCGTTAATTCGATCAGTGGAAATTATTAATCTTTTGAGACGCGTCGAGATTAATCTGATTCGCAATTCTGATCTGATGTTTTATTTTTGACTTCAATATTTAATACCTACTTTGAAACTTTGAAGCCTATAACAATCTCTCTTGATTCTATTCAACCCATTTCATCGAGAGATGTTCTTATGACATTTTGTGCATTGCCTGCGATTTACAGGCGCCAAGTAGGACTTCAGTTTTCATGTGTATTAAACATACACTGATCCTTCGGAATATACAGGTATTGAGAAGTCCCGGCTGAAAGTAGAGCTAAAACTTCGACTCAGGCAAGCACAACGAACATTTTAGATTTCTGATTTGATGCGACCTCGACGACGCGGGGTTGCTTGGTACACCGAGATATAACCCATTTCGAGATAATAATCGGGCGCGCGTATATACACACACCACGGCTCTCCCGAATATTGTTAACACGCGTCGAGCTATTCCTCCGCACCGCCTTACATGCTCGTCATTACCGCGGCGCGTCACGTCGTCGCCTGAATACTAATAGACGAGGCTATATGTACGGGGAGCGTGCATTTGGCTCGTCATTCGAGGAATCGTCATCGTCCTCGCTCTGAATAGGGATCGGTAATGGATAGCGGGGGCCGCCCCCGCGGGATAGCTCTCTAGGAATCGCGTCTATTTATTGATCGCCCCCTGTGCATTGGAATATTCAATCCGTCTCTCAGACTAGGAGCGGCGAGTACACGAGACGCGGCGCATCTCTTTCCGTCACGTAGGCAACTCCGGCCATTTCCCTCTCTCGCGCAGATCTCTCGTAGACGACTTTATCCTTTACAACTGTAAGTAGCCTTCGGTGTCGCGTTACCTATTAATGCCTTACAGGTTGCAACGCTCAAGGCGTCGTCGAATAATTCGTTTTAACCAGCAAGTGAATATCTATTTTATAAATAGCTCGGTCTAGCGGCATCGAAAATACATTAGTTATATTTGAGTGTTTACCGAGAAAATTAGATTATTTTATAATAGCGTGGAGACAATGTCCGGAGTCCGAATTAATCTTTCAATAGACAATTTTAGATTACTATTAGCGCGACATGCCGTTTCAACTTGCTTATAAATATTAGTCGAATATAAATTTAAATTCTATAAGTCGCCAATATATAAATTTGTTTCATTGCTATCTATTTCCGCAATCGTATATCCGTAATTGACAGTAGCATATCCAGTGAGTTCTTGCGCTTATCGTCTGTGCATCACACGAGAGGATAACGAGCCGAATTTCTTAAGGTATTGAATACAATCAAAGCGGCGGAGGCGGTGGCGGAGGTGGTGGTGGCGGCGGCGGTGCAAATAGACGTCCCGACAGCTCGCAAAGAGTGCTTAAGCGACGGTGAGAGGCGTTCGATCGAGGGATAGACGGTAATCCCATCCGTGTGCGGGGCCAACCAGCTATCTGTCATGAAGTCGAGGAAAACACACCGGGATGGTAAGTTTAGCGGCGGTAGATAAAAGTATAGCGCGGTTCTGGCTGTGCTATTAGCTCTTAGGTTAAGCCGGAAATTCCAGGCCGGAAGCTCGGGGCCGCGGCTAGGGCAGCTCGTACGAAAGAGCATAGTCAGCGAGAGTCGACCTAGGGTGCAACGTACGGGAATGGTCTTGGATAGGATGCTACGAGACGAAAGGGTAGACGTAGAAAAAGAGGCAGGGAGAGAAAGAGAGAGAGAGAAAGAGAGAGAGAGAGAGAGAGAGAGAGAGAGAG